ACCCAGGGACTGTACGTGCACCCCAGGCACTGTGGTACAACCAAGGAACTGTACGTACAACCCAGGCACCATATGTACAACCCAGGCACCGTATGCACAACCCAGGCACTGTATGTACAACCCAGGCACTATACGCACAACCCAGGCCCTGTACATACAACCCAGGCATTGTACGTACACACCCAGGCACTGTGCGCACAATCCAAGCACTGTGCGCACAACCCAGGCACTATACGCACTACCCAGGCACTGTGCGTACAACCCAAGCACTGTGCGTACAACCCAGGCACTGTACGCACAACCCTTTCACTCTGCGCACAACCCAGGCACTGTATGCACAACCCAGGCATTGTACGCACAACCCAGGCACTGTTATTTCACAACCCAGGCATTGTACGCACAACCCAGGCACTGTACGCACAACCCAGGCACTATACGCACAACCTAGGCACTGTACGTACAACCCATTCACTCTGCGCACAACCCAGGCACTGTATGCACAACCCAGGCATTGTACGCACAACCCAGGCACTGTATGCACAACCCAGGCATTGTACGCACAACCCAGGCACTGTACGCACAACCCAGGCACTATACGCACAACCTAGGCACTGTACGTACAACCCAGGCACTATGTACAACCCAGGCACTGTATGTACAACCCAGGCACTATACGCACAACCCAGACACTGTGCGTGCACACAACCCAGGCACTGCGCACAACCCAAACACTGGACGCACAACCCAAGCACTGTACGCACAACCCAGGCACTGTACGCACAACCCAGGCACTGTACGCACAACCCAGGCACTGTACGCACAACCCAGGCACTGTACGCACAACCCAGGCACTGTACGCACAACCTAAGCACTGTATGCACAACCCAGGCACTGTACGCACAACCCAAGCACTGTACGCACAACCTAAGCACTGTACGCACAACCCAGGTACTATACGCACAACCCAAGCACTGTACGCACAACCCAGGCACTGTATGCACAACCCAGGCACTATACGCACAACCCAAGCACTGTACGCACAACCCAGGCACTGTGTGTATGTTAATAACGTACTAAATATTATTAGTGAGGTATCCCTACATGACATAAAATTATTAGTGAGGTATCTCTACATGACAACACAATTTTAGTGAGGTATCCCTACTTTTCAACATAATTTTAAGCGAGATATCCATACTTCACTACGCATAATTTTAGCGAGGTATCCCTTCTTCACTATACATAAAAAAAAAATGATCGCTTTGTACAATTAGCGAGGACTGGGGTAATATTTCGTCCAGCAGGGCCACAATGGGTTAGAATTGCTAATATAAATTCAGTGGATCAGATCCTCGCCCCACCTCTGCTGCTCCATACCAGCGTTCATTGGCTCTCACAGCAATGACAACATTCGTGAAAATTTACAACGTTCATACATAACGCAGCCCACAGCACCACTTCTATCACAGCACACATCTTTGTTAACTAGTGTCTCACGTTATCTTCTACAGCACAGCATATTGTTATCTGGTGTGTTCACGTTATCCAGAACAGCACAGCATATTGTTATCTGGTGTGTTCACGTTATCCAGAACAGCACAGCATATTGTTATCTGGTGTGTTCACGTTATCCAGAACAGCACAGCATATTGTTAACTGGTGTGTTCACGTTATCCAGAACAGCACAGCATATTGTTATCTGGTGTGTTCACGTTATCCAGAACAGCACAGCATATTGTTAACTGGTGTGTTCACGTTATCCAGAACAGCACAGCATATTGTTATCTGGTGTGTTCACGTTATCCAGAACAGCACAGCATATCCCAGTACAGCACAGCATATCCCAGTACAGCACAGCATATCCCAGTACAGCACATCTCTTGTCTACAGAAGTTATGTGCATCCCTGCACAGCACTTGCTCGAAAAACGATGTTATTTACAACTTTCGTATGTAACCCCACACAGCACAGCTCATCACAGCACAGGCAGCTGTTCATCTCTGACACACAGACATCTGCTGTGCATTTGCACATGTAATTGGCACAGCTTGATCAATTACAGATGCAGCACACTCTTCCTCGCTCACATAAACCACATAACATCAGCGGCCCGCGGCCCGGTCCCAGACCAGGTCCTCATTATATCCCATAGCATTGTGTTAAGATTCCAATATCTTAGTACATGTTTCTTTACGTGGTATGAAGAAATTTAAGTATCACAGGTTGCAAGTGGTAAGGTGACACCGACGACAGGTTGTAAGGGTAAGGTGACACCGACGACAGGTTGTAAGGGGTAAGGTGACACCGACGACAGGTTGTAAGGGGTAAGGTGACACCGACGACAGGTTGTAAGGGGTAAGGTGACACCGACGACAGGTTGTAAATGGTAAGGTGACACCGATGACAGGTTGTAAGGGGTAAGGTGACACCGACGACAGATTGTAATTGGTAAGGTGACACCGACGACAGGTTGTAAGGGGTAAGGTGACACCGACGACAGGTTGTAAGTGGTAAGGTGACACCGACGACAGGTTGTAAGTGGTAAGGTGACACCGACGACAGGTTGTAAGTGGTAAGGTGACACCGACGACAGGTTGTAAGTGGTAAGGTGAAACCGACGACAGGTTGTAAGGGGTAAGGTGACACCGACGACAGGTTGTAAGGGGTAAGGTGACACCGATGACAGGTTGTAAGTGGTAAGGTGACACCGACGACAGGTTGTAATTGGTAAGGTGAAACCGACGACAGGTTGTAAGGGGTAAGGTGACACCGACGACAGGTTGTAATTGGTAAGGTGACACCGACGACAGGTTGTAATTGATAAGGTGACACCGACGACAGGTTGTAATTGGTGAGGTGACACCGACGACAGGTTGTAATTGATAAGGTGACACCGACGACAGGTTGTAATTGATAAGGTGACACCGACGACAGGTTGTAATTGGTAAGGTGACACCGACGACAGGTTGTAACGGGTAAGGTGACACCGACGACAGGTTGTAAGTGGTAAGGTGACACCGACGACAGGTTGTAAGTGGTAAGGTGACACCGACGACAGGTTGTAACGGGTAAGGTGACACCGACGACAGGTTGTAAGTGGTAAGGTGACACCGACAAAATGAGAAAGAGGACACTTGGGTACAGTTCAGGACATTTACTTAGGAAAACGTTTCGCCAAGAGACTGATGAAGTCACTCGTGGCGAAACGATTCCTTTAATAAGTGTGCTGGGCAGTACACAAGTGTCTCTCTGTATCTTATGTAGTAGTTTTTATGATGTAATATTTACCTAGTGACGGGATGCATTTGTAAACTTGTAGTCAGACAAGTTTACGAGACCACAAGTTTACGAGACCACAAGTTTACGAGACCACAAGTTCACAAGACCACAAGTTCACAAGACCACAAGTTCACAAGACCACAAGTTCACAAGACCACAAGTTCACAAGACCACAAGTTCACAAGACCACAAGTTCACAAGACCACAAGTTCACAAGACCACAAGTTCACAAGACCACAAGTTCACAAGACCACAAGTTCACAAGACCACAAGTTTACAAGACCACAAGTTCACAAGACCACAAGTTCACAAGACCACAAGTTCGCAAGACCACAAGTTCACAAGACCACAAGTTCACAAGAACCACAAGTTCACAAGACGACAAGTTCACAAGACCACAAGTTTACAAGACACAAGTTCACAAGACACAAGTTTACAAGACCACAAGTTTTTTTCAAGACCACAAGTTCACAAGACCACAAGTTTACGAGACCACAAGTTCACAAGACCACAAGTTTACAAAAGCACAAACTTACAAGACTGAGGCTTGTCAAACTGACTATAAGCCTCGGTCACACTAACTTGATAAACGTCTGATTACAGGAAAACATCGTGTGTGTGTGTGTGTGTGTGTGTGTGTGTGTGTGTGTGTGTGTGTGTGTGTGTGTGTGTGTGTGTGTGTGTGAGCGTGCGCGCGTCAGTAAAGAATTATATGTATAAATTCTCTCTTGCCAACAGCCAGACGAGCTGGCACGGAGCGACCATCTCTGTGTATCACCCACGTCTGGGAAAAATGTTTCTATTTTCCTGACGAACAACCTTAGGAGGTTGAAGGTTCCAACAATACTGTCTTGCAGGTTGAGGAAGCAGCTGGAGAAAGACTAGCGAAACTGAGCCTAATGACGCTAGAAAATTTAATAACATAAAAAAGCGATAACAGCACACAAGCTGGATAAAACGGCGTATAGCTGGCAAGTATGAAGCGTTTCGCTCTTTGTAAATAACAACGCCATTCTGCAACTGGCGCCTTTGTCTGCGAACTGTATACAAGATATTCAAAGGATGTAACATGGGTGACGGGACAAAGATGGGAGTTTAGAAGCACAGTTGATCCTCGGAGACGTTTGTACATTTATAGTTCGTTAGTCTCATGATGAAATATAAAGTTGAATGATCTGGATGCTAGAGTGCTAGAGGCTAGCAACATACACACTTCAAAGAGTAGTATGACAGGACCAGAGAGGGGAGAAAGCAATAATGTCAGTCGTTTGATGGTTGAGGGACCGGGATAGGAGCCGAGACTTGACTCTAACACAAATCTGTGAATACAACTTCGTGAGTGCACATATTACTTTGCTAACACTAGGAACACTGCTTAAAACAGGAACACTGAGAATAACATTGACAGTGTACTCTTTAAGCAAACGCTGCCAACACTAGGGACACTGTACACTTTAGACAACAGCAACATTATCAACACTAGGGGCCAGGAGAGGAAAAAGGGTATCTCTTGTTAGGAGAGGATAATTAGTAACTTGTTAGGAGTGGTTGCTTGTTAATAGAGGGTGGGCAGGGTAGCTTGCTAGAAAAAGAGGGTCGCTTGTTAGTATGGTGGTAGTTGTTTGTTGGTAGGGTAATTCCTTACTAGGAGGGGAAATGTCTTGCTAGGATTAACTGGGTGGGGAAGGGAGGGACGGGGGTGTTGCCTAGTTAACACATACGCGTGGGTGATGAGAGGACGTGGGAGTGTTGAGGCAGTGACTCAGCCACGACCATACACTAGCGCTCACCAGAGTATACTGATGCCTCAGTCTGCCTCCCACCGCCGCTTCCCCCGCGCACCATACACAACACACACACACACACACACAAAACACACACACACACACACACAAACACACACACACACACACACACACACACACACACACACACACACACTATGTGACAAAATGCAAGGAGGCAGAGGAGAGGTTTCTTCCCAAGGGAAACAGAAATAATGGGAAGACCAGAACGAGTCCTTGGTTCACCCAAAGGTGTAGGGAGGCAAAAACTAGGTGTACTAGAGAATGGAAAAGGTACAGAAGACAAAGGACACAGGAAAATAAAGAGATTATCAGAGAGCCAGAAACGAATATGCACAGATAAGAAGGGAGGCTCAACGACAATATGAAAATGACATAGCATCGAAAGTCAAGTCTGACCCGAAGCTGTTATATAGCCACATCAGGGGAAAAACAAGAGTCAAGGACCAGGTAATCAGACTGAGGAAGGATTATGGAGAGTTCACAAGAAACGACCGAGAGGTATGTGAGGAGCTCAACACGAGATTTAAAGAAGTATTTACAGTGGAAACTGGTAGGACTCCAGGTAATCAGAACAGGGAGGTACAACAACAAGTGCTGGATGAGGTACACATAACCAAGGAGGAGGTGAAGAAGCTGCTATGTGAACTTGATACCTCTGGTGGGACCAGACAAATCTCTCCATGGTCCTTAGAGAGGGAGCAGAGATGCGTGTGTGCCACTAACAAAGATCTTCAACACATCCATTGAAACTGGGCAACTCCCTGAAGTATGGAAGATGGCAAATGTAGTCCCAATTTTTAAAAAAGGAGACAGACATGAGGCATTTAACTACAGACCTGTGTCACTAACGTGTATAGTGTGCAAAGTCATGGAGAAGATCATCAGGAGGAGAGTGGTGGAGCACCTGAAAAGAAACAAGTGTATAATCAACAACCAGCACGGTTTCAGGGAAGGAAAATCCTGTGTCACAAACCTACTGGAGTTTTATGACAAGGTGACAAAAGTAAGACAAGAGAGAGAGGGGTGGATAGACTGTATTTTCTTGGACTGCAAGAAGGCCTTCGACAGTTCTTAACAAGAGGTTACTGCAAAAGCTAGAGGATCAGGCACACATAACAGGAAAGGCACTGCAGTGGATCAGAGAATACCTGACAGGGAGGCAACAACGAGTCATGAAACATGACGAGGTGTCGGAGTGGGCGCCTGTGACAAGCGGGGTTCCACAGGGGTCAGTCCTAGGACCTGTGCTGCTTTTGGTATATGTGAATGACATAACGGAAGGGATAGACTCAGAAGTGTCCTTGTTTGCAGATGATGTGAAGTTAATGAGGAGAATCAAATCGGTCGAGGATCAGGCAGGACTACAAAGAGACCTGGACAAGCTACAAGCCTGGTCCAGCAACTGGTTCCTTGAATTTAACCCTGCCAAATGCAAAGTCATGAAGATTGGGGAAGGGCAGAGAAGACCGCAGACACAGTATAGTCTAGGTGGCCAAAGACTGCAAACCTCACTCAAGGAAAAAGATCTGGGGGTGAGTATAACACCGAGCACATCTTCTGAGGCGCACATCAGTCAAATAACTGCTGCAGCGTACGGGCGTCTGGCAAACCTAAGGATAGCGTTCCGATACCTTGGTAAGGAATCATTCAAGACTCTGTACACTATTTACGTCAGCCCCATACTGGAGTATGCAGCACCAGTTTGGAATCCACACCTGGTCAAGAACGTCAAGAAATTAGAGAAAGTGCAAAGGTTTTCAACAAGACTAGTCCCAGAGGCAAGGGAATTCTCCTACGAAGAAAGGTTAAGGGAAATCGGCCTGACGACACTGGAGGACAGGAGGGTCAGGGGAGACATGATAACGACATATAAAATACTGCGCGGAATAGATAAGGTGGACAAAGACAGGGTGTTCCAGAGATGACACACAGAAACAAGGGATCACAATTGGAAGTTAAAGACTCAGATGAATCAAAGGGATGTTAGGAAATATTTCTTTAGTCATGGTCGTGGACCGGGCCGCGGGGGCGTTGATCCCCGGAATAACCTCCAGGTAACCTCCAGGAGTTATCAGGCAGTGGAATAGCCTAGAAAGTGATGTAGTGGAGGCAGGAACCATACATAATTTTAAGACGAGGTTTGATAAAGCTCATGGAGCAGGGAGAGAGAGGACCTAGTAGCAATCAGTGAAGAGTACAAATAGGTGAGTACACAGGAGCTGAGTCTCGACCCCTGCAACCACAATTAGGTGAGTACACACATACACACACACACACACAGACACACACACACACACACACACACACACACAGTTGCAATCAGTGAAGAGGAGGGGCCAGGAGCTATGAATCAACCCCTGCAACCACAAATAGGTGAGTACAAATAGGTGAGCACACGACACACACACACACACACAACACACACACACACACACACACAACACACACACACCACACAGTGTGAACAGCCTTGAATGTGTCCGAATGGGACACTGGTTGTACAAGGGGAGACAACTGGAAAGCTGTAAACAGAGGGAAGAAGTCCATAGAAATGTCTGGAAGCATTTCTTCAGCTTCAGAGCTGTCAGATAGTGGAACAATATGGAGAATGAAGTGGTAAAGGTGAGATCAATACATAGCTTGAAGAACAGGTACGACAAGGCTCCTTAAAGCCTGGAGAAAGCGGACCTAGTAACGACCAGCGAAGAGGCGGGGCCAGGAGTTGTGAAGCGACCCCCTGCAACCACATATTGGTGAGTACACACAGACAGATAAACCAGACAAATGTCCTATCAACAATTGCCTTTATCATCTTGTAACTTATTCACCAGATGGTAACATAACAGAAGGAGGGAGGGGAAGGGATGGAGGGAAGGGAGGGAGGGAATGAATGAGGGGAGGAAGGCGGGGAAGGGAGGAGGGGAGGAGGAGGACATTTCCCTGCCCCAGACCGACCAAGCAAACATAAAGGTCAGTCCTTCATGTATGAAAATGATTAGAGAACCGACAAGTTGAAGAATGAAGACACTAGCACCATTTGAGAATTTTACTGAGAACGTTCGCCAGCCATGGCTTCATCATCCAGAACAAAATAAGAACGGTAGAAAAAGAGGAAGATTTTGAGATAATCAGTCCTTAACCTAGATCCCTTAACCGATTCCAGGCTGACGGTACTGATTACCTCAAACTCCTCCTCTTTTTCCACCGTTCTTATTTGTAGTGGACTGATGAAGCCACTGGCTGGCGAAACGTTTCTTTCCAATTCACGGTAGCATCTGTTATTAACAAGCTTACTGCAGTGTGTTGATGGTCGGGTCTCGGTAAACCCGGCTTTTCTCGTATCATCAAATAACTACAGTAGCGCTAAACCCATGAGGATCATACAGCGCCTGGGCGAAAGGGAGGCAATTAGGTTCAGTCCAAGAAAATGGAAGACAGGTTCAATTCTATGCATTAAAATTCTCTCCCTGGCAACAAGGAACCTCCCTGGAGGGAAATCCTAAGGAAGAGCAACATTCTGAGAGTTGTGGATAAATGGTTCAGAGAACTGACAAGTGTCTAATTCATCATGCTGAAAGTTGTGTTGGGTGGCACCCAGCATCACAGGCAAGCCGTGCCAGCCAGGCTGATGCTTACAACTCACAAGAACCCAGCGACTGTAAACCTGTGAAGGACTCTGAATGCGTCATTATATTAATGGTATACAAAGCCGACGATGTGGATGAACAAGACATATGTGCAACACTCTTAATGTGGAGAATAAACACCTGTTAAGGCCGAGAGACTGAACATCTGTCAAGGCTGAAAGACTGATCATCTCAAATTTCTTCTTTTAAGTCTTCCACCATCTCCAGTATTTATTCTCGGTTTTACATTGATAAAATCACCGGTGGGCGAAACGTCTCCACAATAAAGGAAAATCAAGCGTTGTCCATCTGAATGTGTTACTAATACCGGCGGGAGGTAGTGAAGCAAGGTGGTGTCGTAACTAACCTACTAGCTACCCAAGACGAGGTATTACATGAGAATGGTGAGACAGTCGCCTCAGTAAACAACTGTGCTCACCAAACAACAACTCCCTGGAAGTATTGGGAGTTTGTGTTGCAGACTGATGATCCATTTTGCCGCATCTGACTATGTTCGTGAATGTTGGCCGAGGTCGAATTTCATGTATTTTTATCCACAATCTGCTATTACACCTATGCATAATTTTCCCACTTATTTACAGTATATAACTTATGTACCATTTCAAGAATTCTTCTAATGAAAATACAGATAACGAATAGCAGATAAGCAAACTGTTGATATAAATAACAAAAGATGCACAATACCGTGACTGGAACGATACACAAATAACCCGCACATAGAAGAGAGGAGCTTACGACGACGATTCGGTCCCACTTGGACCATTTACAAAGTCACAAAGTGTGACTTTGTAGATGGTTCAAGTCGGACGTAAACGCCTTCGGAAGCTCCTCTCTCCTATGTGCAGGTTATTTGTACGTGCAGATATAAATCTATGTGTACTCCTGTTAACTATACTGGGGCCTAGTTCCTAGGTATCTTGTGTATCCATATGCTCTTGCGCTACCATCCACAGGATGGATATGGGATGCTCATTAAACTAGTCACTTCAGTGGAAAAATCTATATATCTACGATGAATGTATAGCCATTGTAGTTGAAAGAAAGGTTCACGACAACATTGTAACTGAGGTCAACATTGTGAAATACTTCCATAATGGGAAAAAATGGAGTTCCACTGTTGTATGATGGAACTTGAGTGTTGATCTGAAGTGTTAGTATTTAGTGCCATCATTATATGGTGCCAGTAACACTTGTTTGCTGTCCTTCTATAGTTGACCTGAAGTGTAAGTGTTAAGTGCTTATCATTGTATGGTGCCAGTAACATTTTTGTTAACCTGAAGGGTCAGGAGTTAATGTCCATCATTGTATGGCGCCAGTAATACTGTTGCTGTCTTCAGTATTGACCT